GAAAGCATAAAAATAATGTAAAGGGAATGATAAGCCCAGATGCAATAGAATTCTTCCACTCAGTCAATCCTGAAACGGAAGCAGGATTATTGCAAACCAACTTACGATGCCTTGCCAGCTGCTGAATTGGATCCCACTTTAACTCTGCAAGATGACAGGATGAACTTATTTTCTTTCATGTAATGAAACCAGGATCTTTCATGGTCAGTAAGTGTGTGGAAGCATCTGGATTCATTGACTGCAACAGACCTTAATAGTTTGCAACTCGCTGGGGGAAAATTGTGTGTATCATATTGTCATTTTGCATCTGTTACTCTGATTAGGATCATTGTAATACATTCAAATTCATTAATGGTGGCTACTTTGGATCCCTAAATAATTAATGGAATCATAGGTGTCTCCCTGAACAACAACCTCATGGCACCGTGTGTTAGGCAGCCCTGTGAGCTCTGAATAAACAGCTCTGACACAGCTGCATCTGTTTAGCCAGGCACCTCCTCTTGCACCAGCTTTCCTTAGCCAAGCCTGGAAGCATGGGCAAAGGCAAGAACAGAAACCAAAGGAGAGAATGAAGCAGTCTCTGGGTAGTGTGGCAGTTCTGGATTCAGGGTCCCAGGACCCACTTGCCCAGGGAATCAGAAACCCTGATGTTGGAGTCTGGAAACAAGCATTGTAATAAACACTCCAGTGATTCTTACATACCCTATAGACTGCAAAGCTCTGGACAGATCTGTCTCTCAGAGAAAGGGAATCAGCAGGATGGATGAAATGTTATGTTGTGGGTTCTAATCCACCAAGGTGCTACAATATTGTGTGGGGATTTTCCTTACCCTAAATGCCTAATGTGTTTCCAAGACTTAAAAGAATGTATCCTACTTCTAAAATAGAAAAAAAAAATCTTATCCTCCCCCACACAATTTGATCCCTTGTTCCTTTTTAGCATATATTCTGAGGGTCAGAAGCTGCCCACATGTGAAGCCAACATGATGATATTCTGAGACTTTTCCAAGAGCAAATTTGAAAGGATTTTTAAGGCAATTTATTAGGCTACGATTAAACACACACACACACCACAATTAACTGTGGAAATGCTTGTTTCCCAGTATCTCCAGGACAGTAATGCTGAGCAGATTTCTCAATTTATCTGCTTTACATCAATGTGGAAGACTATACAAACAAATGGCAGCAGAAAACCCCAGGGCACTAAAGAGGTCAGGAAAAGATCTATAATCCACAAAAACTGCAAGTGTTAATAAAGATAATGTCCTTATCTCCATGTCAGGAACCATAAAGCTAATGCATATTTGTAAATGTCTCAAGAGTAGATGGAAAAGAGAAAGGAAAACAGAGACTGAAGGTGGGGGCCGAGATCAGGAGAAAGGGCCAAGGAACTCTGATGCCATTTATATCCCAGAATCACTCTCCTGGGGAGAAGAGGAGCCAGCTTGGCTGCACCTCAGGAGGCCCCCCCTGAAAGAATCCAGAGATAAGCTCAGGAGCCTCTGTCACTGGCACGATTATAAAATTCAAAAATCACAGCGTATCAAATGAAGCGAGGGATGAGCGCCAACTGCAGATGTCTGCTCAATAGCAAAAGGATGTCCTGGACACATCAGGTGGGGGCGAGGTCATACATGTCAGGAAAGAGGTATCACTTGCAAACGGAAACAGGTATTGAGAGAACAACAGATGTTGGACAAATGTTACTAATAGCCATCATTTGTCAGGCCTTAGTGGGTGCTAAGCATTGACATGGTCCCTGATTTATCATGGGTAGATATAATGGTTTTTCAACTTTACAAAGGTACAAAAACACAAAGGGTGTTTGGTAGAAACCATGCATCAGTTTTTGGATTTTGACATTTCCCCAGACTGTTGATGGGTGGTAGGTGCTGTCTTCAGGTGTTGGGTTGGGGTGGTGAGCTGCAACTCCGTCAGCCATGCAAGTGTGATGGTGAACACCCTATGCTACAGTGTCCCGTGTTGCTAAAGTTGAGACATTCAGTAAGTTAGGTGTATTAAATGCTATTTATTACATTTTTCAGTTTATGATGGGTTTATCTGAATGTAACCTCCCTGTAAGTAGAAGAGGACCTGTATTTACTTAAATTTAATCTTAAAGCAGACTTTCCAGACTGCACTCATTTTACTCATAAGAAAACTCAATGAGTTTTATTAGAACTCAATTAGCTTATTAGAATCATCTAGCATATAGTGGGGCCAGGATACAAACCCCATGTGCCCACACCAGAATCCATTTTCTGACCGCAGCCTCACCATGGACAATGCACCGTGTCTTCAGGGGTGTATGCTTGCCCTTCTGGTAAGACACAAAGATGGAAAGAGTCTACTTCTATAAATCTATGCTCATAATGTCTAGATGAGACACACAAGTGATTTCAGCCAACAAATCCAGCTTTGCACACAGGTAGCACACCTGACCTCCTGGATGAGGGCCGAGACCAGAAGTCAAGGATCTCTGGTTCCATTAAACCACAGCTTTTATATAGAATGAATATTCATTAAATGCATGATTTAATTTTGTCTTTGTTTATCTGTTTTCCCAGTATTAATATTGCCTAGCACCTAGTAAGTGCCCCAACATACATGATGAATGAGTCAATGAATATAGCGGCCAGTGAAAGAAGAAATGAGTTTACAAAGAAATAGGTATCTGGGCTGGGGATGTGGCTCAAGTAGTAGCACACTCGCCTGGCATGCGTGTGGCCTGGGTTCGATCCTTAGCACCACATACAAACAAAGATGTTGTGTCTGCCGAAAACTAAAAAATAAATGTTAAAAAATTCTCTCTCTCTCTCTAAAAATATTTTTAAAAAAATAAGAAATAGGCATCCCCCTATAGGAAATCACTGCACACAGAGCAGCACACTAATCCTAACACCGTCAACCTTTGTTGCCCTATGTGAGTACCCAGACTCTCCTACAAGTAAAGGGAATATGGCATTGTCATAGTTACTTGTATAACAGAATGTGCCAAGAGCAGTAATAAAGAGGGCTCAGGCCATGAGTATTCCCAAGATGATGACTCACACACCACTAGAGGTTTTTGTCCATGGCCGTTATTTTTTAGCACCTCCTTGCCCTTTCACTAAAAAAATCAATCTGGACTTTTCGTCATTTGCTCTTTGACCTGAAGCCTATGGATTTCCAGCATACTTTTCGGGGCTCTGGGATCTTTGTCTTGAGTTTTCTAGAGTTTAAAGATCAATTTTAACTAATTAGAGCTAATTGGAGATCAACCAACTCTTCCAATATCTACCCAGAACCTATGCAAGTGTTAAAACACCTACATGCTTTTGCAACTGAGTCAAAGTTTATTTCGTGGGAAAATATAAGAAGAAGCCACCTTGAAGAAATAGAATCTTTTACTCATGCAGCTTCCTGTTGACAAATGCTTTAATGAATGTAAGCACAAAAGAAGCTAGACCACCTAGTGAACATGTTTTCAAACAAGTTCACTATTGGATTTGCAGCCTTCAATGAGTCACTAAGCCACACTAAATCTCAGTTTGCACAACTGAGAAGAAAAGTCTTAACCTCTCTGCTAGATCTATAAACACAAACAGTTTTTTTTTTTCTTATAGTCCATCTTATTGTATGAGTGTGTCTAGTTAATAGACAAAGGTGATGAATTATTTGAATAGACTTTCTTCTCTGGTCTCTTCCATTGCTTCCAGGATACTGTTGAACACAAAAAGCTGATCAGCAGTCAACTGAATTGAAGTTAACCAAGGTACCCCATGTTTCCCTCCTAAGAATGTGAAAAACCTTCCAAGATTTATGCAAAAAGACCCCTTTAAGTATCAGAACAATATGCTGCATTTACATGAGGTTTTTTCCTTTACTGCTTTATTTCTTAGACATTTGTGATTCTTTAAATAATATGTGTATGTATGTATTTGAAATTAATGGTTAAAAAATTCTAATGGTTTTATATACAATTTCTCCAAGTGAAATTTTCATTGAAAATAGAAAATATTCAATTTCTGTTTGCACTAAGTGGTTTAAAATGCATGACAATTAACAAATGAGTCACATACATCACCTTCCTGTAACTAATGCACTGGAAGCTGAATTCATCAATTACAGCAAAGATACAATGTCTACTTTACCAAACATCCAGGTTTCTTCGTCTTTGTACCTTTTTTTGTTTGTTTCTTTGTCATTCTGTGTCCTATTCATAAATTGTCTACAGCAAATTATAGCAAAGGTGTCTCCCTTCTCTATTGCCACTTTGCGATCTATACTTAACTGCAGGGTACAGCAAACAGAAGCCATAACTAACCGAGCCAACTCCAGCCTTCTAAATCTGCAACTACAGCTTGGGAAGAATCTTGTATTAGGGTGTTACATGCTAGATTTAATGTGAATGTTGTAGTCTGAAGTGAAAATTATTTGTACAGCTGGAATATAACATTTGCATAAGTTACAATTAAAAGGGAAAATATAATTACAAATTTTCAACTTAATTTGAATGGTTTTTAAAATGCTCATTTGGCATAGGCAACAGCTTGCAGGCAAACAGAACACACTCTCTCAGAGTTGCATCTCTTTGTCTGGGTAGCAGTAGTGAGCTCATTTTTAAGGGCTTGCTTTAACCCCTGAATTCCAACAGCAACCAGCATTGAGAACTTAAAGTGCAAGGCAATGTTTGTTTTCAAAATAGGATTACAACATACACAGTGATTTATAAATATTTGCATCTTTTAATTGTTTCTAAAAATGAAGTGGCAAGTGGCAACACACGGGAATGTTATTTCTCCCATGGAGTGAACGAGCAGTGGAATTTTAACTAGTTTCATTCCCTTTCAGCTCTCAGATCTGAGATCTTCGGTCACATCTCCAGTACAATGTTTTCCTCATATCACAGTC